CAATGAAATCGAGAACTGTTTCTTCACCTCCTCCTTGTCGAACACCTTCTCCCACCAAACCTGTCCGTTGGCTCCGCCATCTCCTCCGCCGCCGCCGCCATTACTAGCTCGTAGCAGAGGGTCGCGGACGGTGGCGTCTGGGTTAGAGTTTTCCGGCATCTTCCCAATTCTTTCTTCTTCTTCAATGGTTCAAATCCCCCAGAATTTCAAAGTGGAAAATTTTGGGGAAAATGACTCATACGACCTTCCTAAGTTTCCAATGCGCTCAAAACCCACCCCTCAAAAATTGTTTTGAATGACCCAAATCTGCTTTTTCAGAATTGTCAGTGGGAGTAAATGTACCCAACTACCCCTCAATTATAACCTCAATTCTCGGGCTTAAACGTGATTTTCCCGACCGTAAGCGTGGTAATGATAACTTATTCTCGGGCAGAATCGCATTTTTCCCGCCCGAGAATTGGCCAAAATGCTAATTTTGGGTTGTTTATGGGCGAGAATTGGCGAGAAGTTAGGTTGACTTACAATGAATTCCCGGMCGTTAACTGGTATTATTTCGCCCGAGAATTTAAGGTTTTCCAATTAATCAAACAACCACTTCTCATCTGTGCACTTCAGCAAACCAGTCTTCTTCATCTGTGCACTTCGTACTCAGCTTTGCAGATAACAAAAAGAATATTGTACATTGAAAGTAACTCTTCCATCTGACCACAYAGTTTGTTTGTAGCTGAGTAAGATTTCTACACAAACGAGGTAGGTGAAATGTCATTTACAAAGAATGRKCTTTTTTTGTGTTTTTCGTCTCTGAAGTCKCACATTTATATGTYTACYCTTTTGTTTTTTGTTTATTTGGAAACGTTTGAGTGCATCTTTGTGGTTTTTATTCTTCCTTAGAGAACGACATGTTTGGGGCATGTACTCTGTATTTTTCCATGATTCTCGGGCGAAGTTAGGGTTATTCACGGTCGAAAATGACAATATAATATGAGTTTCTCGGGCGATAATCATATTGTATTTCTGGCGTAAATTCTCGCCCGAACGACAATAACTTCCGTCCGAGAATGTCGAAAATTTCGAATTTCGAATTTTGAATTCTTCTCTTTCCACATGCAGGATGCCTCGCCTATTTGTTAGCTATGATGGTAGTTGGAATGAGTCACAATTTCTATATGAAGGTGGAATTATGAGAGGTTTGGATGTGGACGATTCTATAACTTATGAGGAGCTCCTTAGTGCTATGTTCAGCCTTATCCGAATAGATCCGGATCGGTTCAAAATCTTGATACACTGTGTATATAAGTTCAATCTGCAGTACCAGGTTCCGAAGTATTACATATTTGATGACCATAGCCTTAGATTTTTTTTTAAGAGGCCCTCCATATCCCTCCGAAGTCCCATTGTATGTATCTATCGTACCGAAGGAAATATATGACAATGGAAGCAGTTCAATGAATCGTAACATTCCAGAAACAGAAGCATTCCAATCATTTTCCCACCAGTTAGGGCAGACCGTTCCGTATTATGCTTCATCGTTTCATTTTGATTCCACGCTCCCAGGCCCATCATGTTTTGTCCCATCAATGACGCCGCTGACGGACAATGTAATCTCATGTAACTTGGGTGACGATGAAACAAACTATTGCGGTCAATGGGACGATAACGATGAGAACGAC